CAGATCACTGGTTAAGTTTTTAATAGTTTCAGCAACATGTGCATAAACGTGTGTGTGTGTGTGTGTGTGTGTGTGTGTGTGTGTGTGTGTGTGTGTGTACAGCTTCTTTACTCAAACGTCTGAAACATGCCAACATTGTCCTCCTGCACGACATCATCCACACCAGAGAGACACTCACTTTCGTCTTTGAGTACCTGGTGAGAAATCTGCTGTTCAGTGCTCAGTGTGACCTGAAGGAGGTGCTACTGAGCACTCACCAACACACACATACACACACACTTCAACCAAAGTCAGAACAAAATTTTAAGGCTACAATTTTTAGCACTCACACATTTTATATTTTTTTCTTTTAAATGTTTATAAAGTTTTACAATTTTATTTTAATGTATATATTGTTTTTTTTTGTTTTCATTCTTATCTATTTATTTGTTAATATGAGGGTCATTCCATCTCAGATCACCATCTCTGATTTGTGTAGAACATTTATGGTATAAGGTTTGAACATAAATTATGTTTTATGTAAAATTTCTTACAACAGTCTTACAACAAACCTTTTATGATATTAACATGATGAACATGAGTATCTGAATAAAAGAAAAGCTTCAAATTTTCTGTGGTCTTTCTTACCATCAAAATGAAGTTTAACACCAGAGATTGTCTCTGCAGCAGACAGATCTGGCCCAGTACATGATCCAGCACCCTGGAGGTCTACGCTATCACAACGTGCGGGTACGTCGCTGCGCTCAGCAGCAGACAGCCGGGGGTGCTACTGTGTCATTCCAGCTGTGAGCAGCACGCCATGAAATGTTTAACATGGCTCAACACTGTGTGTTTCAGATCTTCATGTTCCAGCTGCTGCGAGGTCTCTGCTACATCCACAGCCGCAGGATCCTCCACCGAGACCTTAAGCCCCAAAACCTGCTCATCAGCTACCTCGGAGAACTCAAACTGGCCGACTTCGGTGAGAACCAGCTCAATGCTGCAGGGCAGAAGTGGAAATATGCAAAGATTTAGTCAGCAAGGACCTGTAGGAACAACAGATTTGTAAAATAACCTAGTTGGAAACAAAGCGTATAGTATAGCTTTATTTTGGAAAGAGCCATTTCTCTGTAATAAACTCTCTTTTCCAAAGATGAGTGATTTCTCGATCAGATAGATTTGGTTTTTTTAATTATTTTGTTGTTTCAGCAACATTAAATTTAAAAACTGTACTTTTGAGTTAAAATATATATTTATAATTTTAATAAATGACAAATTAAAAAGGCATGAACATTTTTTGTATGGGAAAAATATCGAACCGTGACACCAAAGTAT